CTCTCTCTCTCTCTCTCCCTCTGTGTGACTAAATTTGGAAGAAACAGAAGAGAGAATATCAGATTGTAAATCTGTCTAAATAGCATTAGAACCGAAAAAAAGGCGTCTGTATTCTATGCTAATTCAATAAATATTATGAAAACGCTGAATTTGACAAAAGGATTAAAAAACTATTTCTGAGATTTTTTGGAGAGATTTCTTCTTTCACACAACACATCAGACATGTTGCACTTGTTAAATCTCCCTTCTTAACTCCCCCACACTCTCTTTATCATTTTCTCTCTCTCTCTCTCTCTCTTCTTCCTTATCTCTCTGTGAACATGTTAACAAGCAACAGCTAGCTTGCTTGTAGTAGCTGTATGTAGTAAGGAGCAACAGATTATCTTATCGTTAGCCCTTCTCTCTCTCTCTCTCTCTCCTCTCTTGCTCTCTTCATCTTATAGTCGTTGTCATCATCATCATCATAGTAGTAGTAGTAGTCGTCGTTGTCGTCGTCTTCTTCTTCTTCTTCTTCTACATCTTCATCACAACGTCACAATTTATATTGTGATGGCTCCAGATGAATTTCGTATAAAAATAACAATTTTTCTTGTTTCTCCAAATTATGCATATAATCATTCATTGTTTTTCGTTTATAAAAAAAAAACATTTTCTCTCTTCTATCTCTCTCTCTCACTCTCTTTATTCTCAACAAAACAAAAAAAAAATTTTCATTGCCTTTCACATCAAATTTAAAAAATTGCTGCGCCGTCCTTGCAGCTCACACGTGAGATTTACGTGAGTGGAAACTCATTTGTTAAATTGACTTTCGAGGCGAGCGGTTGCATTCAGTTTTTGTATTTCTGATCCATCTCACATGTACCCACTACATGTAAAGATGGAGATTGAGAAAGAGTAAGAGAGAGAGAGAGAGATAGAGAGAGAGAGGGAAATATAAAGAGAGAATGAAACTGCTTTGACTAATAACGTGAATACATGTATATGTATATGTGTATGTGTGTGTGTCTATGTGGTGTCCGTTTCCTCTTTATTTTTTGTTGCTTTGATCGTTTCTCTCTGTCGTTGTTGTCTCTTGAACTGAATTAAAAAATGGCCAAACTTAAAATAATTTGCGGGTGAAATGTAATAACATTGAAAAATATATTTTTATTGTTTTAGCGCCAATGTTGTCTCTATCGGTTCCAAGGAGTTCGAGATCGCTCAGTCCCGCCCCAAGCAGAATGTCTAGCTCCATCAAATCATCTGCTTCTTCAAGCTTGAACACTGTCGACTCTGCCCGATCTTCCTCTTCTGACACTCGAGGTATTTTGGAATTTTAATTATTTTAAACTTTTTTTGCTGTTGTTAGCAAAAATTTCGCAAAAAATGGAGAGGAGAAAGCTTTCCAAGCATCTCTTTCTCTCTCTCTCTCTCTCTCCATTCACCCTCCTGCCTCCTACACCCCACCCCTCCAACTTCTCCTTTTCTTGTTCTTCGTCTTCCTTTCTCTTCGCTGCTTCACCATCTTTTGACTTTTTAACTAAATGACACAAAGAACAGAAGATTCATGTTTTCGAGTCGCAATTCAAATCTTTCTTCTGCACAAATCCTTTCAAAAACTTCCTTATTAGCTCTGTCGCATCTTAACTCATCAGATTTTTGAACTTTTAACGATGTTTTGAGTATTAGTTTTGTTCTAAATTTTCAATCAATTAATTTTGGTTCAATCGAGAGGTATACAGAGAGAGAGAGAGAGGAAGAGAGAGAGAGAGACACAGAGGGTCTACAGTTCTTGGAATTGGAACACATTTGATCTGATGAGGGTGGAGAATGGATGGCAGAGAGGAGGAACAGACTGAGAGTATGTGAGAGATGGGAGTGAATTTCAACGTGAATGAAGCCCGCATGAAGTAATAAATAAACGAAAACCAAATTGGTTAAAAATAGAAAATTCTAATTTAAACTATGTGGTTATGGTTATATTTTTATTTTTTTTTGTGTTGTTTACCAAATAAGGTGACGTCATGAAGCTTCATTTTCGCAGATGAACTTTGTCTTTCTCACACATCAGAATTATTGACGTTGCAGAGAGGCAAATAAGCGACGTAAAGAGAGAGAGAGATAGATAGATAGAGGGAATGTGAGAGAGAGAGAGTGAAGCTTGCATGGTGCATTCCACCTTGTCATTTAATCTTTGAGGTTTCAAGGTGATCTCATTAGAGTCAAAATGCAATTTTCTTTTGAATTATTTACGAAAACTTGAAATAATCTCTCAATATTTTCATTTCAACCCTGGTTTATGAGGCGATTCAGCTTCTGAATTGAGATATCGTAAGCGGTGTAGCGTGTGTGAAGTGAGAAGAGGAAGACGAAGAAGAAGAAGCATGTGAATAGAAGAACAGAATTCCTTTTTTCTCTCTCTTTTCACAAAGGTTATAAGCATAGTAAATCTGATGTTGCTGCTATTGCTGCTGTTGCTTGTTGCTTCTCATGCTGCTGCTACTTCTTCTTCTTCTCATAGTTCGCTTCCTCGTCACACGTTGTTAGTTTGTGCCCTCAGGACAAATATGGATGCACTTATTTCCATTTTCGTTTCTCTCATCACAAATTGTAAAATTCATTCTGTTATCTTATATATTCTCAGAATGTCATGCAAATTTCTTTGTTTTTCAATCAAAACAAGCAGCAGAGATGATAATCAAGGACTGACCATTAGCTCGTTGTATGACGTTTCTTTTCATATATTGTTGATGGGAAGTAACGTGTAGACTCTCACATATCTTTTACTACTTTACCCTATATAGACATGCTGCTTGTGCTGCTTATAGCTTCAACAGCTATATGTTTCCATATATCATTGTCATTGTTTCAGAAATGCGTGAAAGAGGATCTTCTATCTCGCTCTCTCCACGTTCCATAATCGTCATCTGTCCCCAACTGACACCTTCACAGGTATTTTCATTGTTGTTCTTCATCTTTCATCTACATATGCATTTCAATCATAGATCGCTGTTATTCGAAAATCATGGAGACATATCAATACGAAAGGCCTTATCTGCGTTTTATCTCGCTGTTTTCAACGAGTACGAGTCTTCTTTTCAATTAAAAATTGTCTTCTACAAACTCAAAAGAACCTTGTTGTTGTTATAAAGTTCCGTTTTCAGCTTGAATCGTCATGCCCTGTTGCCAGCAAGTGCTTCATGTCCGCTAACTATTCCTTATCCACAACTGCTAATCCCGTCCGCACTGTGTCTGATCATTCTAGATTTCTACTCGGCTTGTTAGATCGTATCATAGACGGTGATTACGTATGTACCATACTCAAAATAGATATATCCTTATATGTCACCGTTTCCAGGAGTACGATGAAGTACGTGATATTGGAGCTCGTCATGTGGGATTGCATCATGAATTTGGATTCTCTACTACCGAATTAGATCGTTTCCAAGAAATATTTGTTGAAGTTATGCTTAAACAGGATGGAATTAAGCAAAGCAAAGAGACGAGGTAATTGGCGCTCATTTTAATTTGAAATTCCGCATACACGTCGTCTGACGGGAGAGCTTTGATTCATTTATAACTTTGACGGAGCAAAGAGCGGTCGCATTCAGTTTTTTCTTCTTCACTCAGCAGAGGGCGAACGGTTGTTGATATTCCTGATGGCTTTTTACTTTCAGTCGTGCTTGGAGACTCCTGATTTGTTCTTTGATTGATGTTTTCCGCGATGGTTTCGAACATCAGATGAGACACTTTCGACGAAAGCATTCCTTCAATGCTCACACTCAATATTTTGAGAATATCGAAAGGTACGATGAAATATATAACAAAAAAAAGAAAAAAACGCTCTTCATGACGTAACATTTGCAGAAGAGCATCCTTATGTCCTTCTCGTAAAGCCTCATTGAATGTTGATACTCCATTTCATGCTCGAAAGCTGTCTGATTGAGCTACTCATATCGTCATTTTGTTTTAGTATCTCCGTTTACTATTCCATTTCATTTAGTCCATCGTTTTGTGATATCAAAAATCAAACTTACTTTTTATACTGAAAATCAGGAAAGTGCATTCCACATGGCACACTACTCACTCTTCATACACACCACACACATACACATTCATTCATTCATTCATATATACATACAGCTTTATAAATGATATAAATGATTAAGTTTTTGTATTCTTTCTACATTTCATTTGATAAACGTTGATAGCTGACACATATCGAAAAGGCTGAAGCTGAAGCGACAAGAAGGTTTACACGAGTTCTCAACGAGGGGGTGGAGTTAATGGTCAAGCTGTTGACCGACAGAAGACATGTTTGTTCTGAATGAATAATGAATTAGAATATCTTAGATTGCATTCATACAATTGGGACATACTTTCAGTTCTTCAAATGTACAAAGGTCCCTATAAATTACGAGCTGTTGGATATCAAACTGATGATTATTTCGTGCGTTTTCATAATTATTGTTGGAATGTCAAGTGTCCACGGCCGGGAGCATCGGTAAGATAAGATGGCATTGTGTGTCTTTCCTATTTCACATTGTTAGGTGGATTTCTTAAAGCTTACATTACAACTCATGAACTCAACTATGGAGATAGTGCCAATCGATTCAGATGTTGATGCAACTATCAAGATGGTACACTTCCTTCTTAATCATCTTAATACTAGTTATGACCATATTGCCATATTAAGATAGCCAATGGTACAGCTGACATTAGCTTAGAAGATTTGCGTATGACAACAGCCAGATTAGATGTAGTGGACTTCACCTATCCTACTAACTTCATTCATTTCGGTTATTTGTTAAGAGAAGTGCCTGAACTAGAAGTGGAAGATTATATTTTAGCTTCATTTGATTGGAGTGTAAGTGGAATGCCTAGTTGCAGTAGCCATCTCTCTCCTCTAGTAGTTCCTAATATATCATGCTGAAATTAGATTTAAGGTTGTTGTGCTTCTGGTGACGTTTGGAATTACCGTTGGACTTTTGGCATATTTTTATTCAAGACTCATTTTGCGTACAAAACAATCATGTTTTCAATGGATTTTTCGGGGATGTGTCAGTATGCGAAAAAAGTTAAATTTTTATTTCATTCATGTTGTTATGACTTTTCAGGTCTGTTGCGACAATTTCAATTTTATATTAATGGACCGACGTCCGCTTTAGTTTTGTTGGGATGCTGGATATTCTGTTGTATGGTCGCCATCTCATTCTATGAAGCAAAATTGAAGAGCTTTCTCACTCTATCACATGCTAGAGGGACAATTTTTCGAGATCTGAATGGTGTTTTGGATGCTGTCGAGAATAAGGTTTTTTCTGCATTTCATTCATTTCTTCATTGTCAATGTCATGTTCAAGGAATGGATTATGGTTATACAGGAGAGAGGCTATGATCCAGCTGAGTATGCCAATGCTGAACAGCTTAAGCGGTTAAAAAACATTCCAAAAGATCGGTAAGTATCAAGATTAACTAATCTATCTTTAGTGCTATTTCTGCAGAATCTTGAGAGTTGGCTCTAACGATGATTATCTGACCATCGTTTCGCAAGAAAAACATGTCGGCTTCGGAGCATATACGAATGACATGGAAAAGTAAGTGATTAGAACGGAAACAACACGTTATGAAGTTCAGATATCCTATCGTGAACATTGATTTTCGAATAAAACTTCTGTTTGTACGAGATGAAGTGATTGCTCCAGAATATATGGCTTTTGCTATAAGGAAGTCGTGTCTTCAATCTCTATCTATCATTCTTAAAGGTTGTTCTTTCAGGAACTCTTCCGATCTTCGCGAACGTCTTAACAGAGCTTTAGCAGAAAGTACTTTAGGGTACACACGTCTGCAAATCAAAAAACAATTCGTCAATTTGTTTTCTTTGCAGATACAATAACATTAGAGGAAGGTATTATGGTCCATTTTTGGAATATACAAATCATCACTATCAGCCAACACGTAACTTAACACTCACACACTTCAAAGTCTTATTCAAATTCTGGATGATCTTTGTGGTTATAGCCATAGCCCTACTTGTCTTCGGTACGTTCAGCTTTTGCTCTCTCTCTCTACTAATCGCCTCAATTATACTAATTATAGAGAATGTCTATGCACGTGTCAAATGTAAATACCTCCACTATAAGCTATATATTAATCCAAATAATCATTTTATTCGCACGAATCTCATCATTTTGCCAATCAGACGATCATCCAGCCCCATCAATGAACTCTACGGTCGTTTTCATATCACAAATTAATAAAAAATAATTTATTCTTAACAACTTTTAACAATTTTACGTTTATTTACAATACTTGTAAGCTTAAAGCTCATTATCAGACTAGAAACGTCCATAGGAATTTCATAGTCGCTTATGCTTTACGGCATACTCACCCATTGCTATTAAGCCAGCTAACATCTCTTCACCTATAATAGACGTATGAGCTTTTCAAATTACTTGCTTACTAAATACCGGATGGTTTTATGAATGTAGCGGGTAAATTGAATGCAAAACTATTGTCTGAATCTAATGGACGTAATTCTATTCCGTAAATATAGGGAACTCCCTTATGTTGCAAGTAATCAATACTTGTACCTGATGCAGGGTCTATAAGTATTTGTTTATTCTCTTCATCATCAGACTTCTTTGTTTTACTTACACATCAACTCAGAAATGGTTCCAAATTTATATTGTACACCAGTGGCATTTCTCATGGCTTCTACAGCAACGCGTGCGGCTGCTCTCTGCAATCAACCCTCATTAGCATAATATGATTCCCGCCAGTTTCACGTGGATACGCGCGCGCGCACAGCTCATTCTTCGTTATGCTTACGCTCAGAACGGTTGCTTTCACTATTTCTCTTTCATCATCAACAAATGCTCGAGAAGTTGATGCTAACAACAACATTTCTGGTTTTTTCATTACCTGGTCCTGGAAATTATTTGTTTTCTCTGCAGTGTATCCCCAGGGGGCCAAGAGAAGTTGTCCATAAGAGTGTAAACTCGTGTAGATGATTAGTTGCGGAACTTTCCAATTCAGGAAATCGCGGAGACCTTAAGAAACTGAAACATTCATCTGGGTAACCCAATTTCTCACCTCTGATTTCAGGTTCTGAAAATGGGCTGCTTCCCGCATAAATGTTTGAACAAGGTTGACGATTAGCTCCAGCTTCGCCCCATCTAGCAATAGCAATGCGTTATAAGTATCATACGGAGATTTCATTTCATACCTGAAACCCCAATTGCGATTGGCATCAGCTCCTACACACCATCTGTTTACTGTCACATTTCTTGATCTTGTCTTTCTCCACAAACGATCCTGAAGTGATTAACATGAGCAAACTAGGGTTTCATCTTCACAACTGACCGTTGATCGAGAGTACTCATAGCCGTCCGGATTAACTTCAGGAACGATGAACCAATCGAATTTATTGATTGATTGCGTGATCTTATTCTCCTTTCCATACTTATCAACTAACTGAACTTCTCAATTCTTCATGCTAATCAGCGCGACACCTACGGCTTTGATCATGTATAAGGCAGCAGCGGGGGCTATCCATTCTCTTGCATGAATTCCTGCATCAACGAAGATAGCTGGTCGCATGCCATTAGAAGTTCCAATCTAAAAGAAGTTAATGATCAATTGAACTTTTTTTATGCAAATTACCTTCACTCCATAAATCATACGACCTTCCGATGATCTGGAGACGTTCATCAAAGTGACAAGTTCAGGTTTTTCTTCTGACAAACGTCTCATGAATTGAACCATCTGAAGAAGCTTTTTTATTTTCAAAAAAATGGTTGTACGGTTGCACCTCATCGTAGGAATGGAAGTCTTCGATGTCAAAGTCACTGTAACTCTGAATTGATCTCTTTCGACGCTTGGCTGATTCTTTTAAAGATCTTCGCTCTCTACGGATATCTCTTAAAGAGCATTGGTTGGTCAAAGCTTCAGCGTATCTTTGCTTACTCTTGGATGTCGTTACGAAGGATCTGTATGTTATCTGCACCTTTCCTCTTCAAGTCTTTGACGAAGTCGTTGTAGATTTCTGGAGCAACCAAGACATCCGCCACTCCTTTAGGTTTAGAAGGTTCACCCCAAACATCTACCAGCGTACGACGACTTCCATGAACCTTAATTCATACATAGAGAAAGAATGATGTAAGATGGACGAACCGTATCTATGTTGTAACCGAATTCTTCTTCATTCTCAAGCCATTTTGCAACATCGGCGTTTGCATCAAATCTTACAAGGCGATAACTAAAAGGTTGCTCATAGCGATGCTCAGAAAGGAAAGGCTAACAAACCCTGTGTAATCAGTAAAGCATAAAGAGATATGTATGAGATTGAGGAGAACAAATCCTTTTCCTAAACAATTGGAAGGTTTCATAACCCCTGCAAAGAGAGAGATGCAATAGAGCGGCTGGTCTTTCATACATTTCAAACATAAAAGAATATTTTGAGAAAAAAAAAGAAAAAAGCTCTTATTCAAAGATCCGATGACGTTGTTGTGTTCGGAGATAATAACAAGCAACACATATTAATTGGTCCCATCAGGATGAGATTTGCATAAGAGTTAGAGAAGGTGAGAGTTGCGACTGATGTTCTTCAGGCTTAACAAGCAATGGCCTCCAGCAGCATGACCTTAAGAAGAAGGAAATACACACCCCAGTCTCTCCTTCTCTACCATCATCTATTCTGTCTCACTTTCATTCTCTCTCGTAAGTTTTATCGTAATAACTGATAAGCAATTGGTTTTCAGACAAACAAAGTGCAACAAGCCATCAGGAAAACAATTAAGATCTTGTACCAAAATAGGAAAAGGTGGAAAATGAATAGGAATGGCTTGATAAACGAACAGCTTCGCTTGCTGCCGCAAAATGAAAGTAAATGAATTGGAACAGAATGGATCATCCAAGGTTTGTTTCTCTCTCTCTATCTCTATCTCTCTCTCTCTCTCATTCAATCCCTATGCCCTCCAATTCACAATTCATATTTTCAGTTTTCTCATCATGACGTAAGGAAGCTTAGTTTGAAGATTTTTTTTGCGTGTAAACGAAAAACCGGTGTTGATGCCATGATGCTGGACGTTGGCTTGTACTTGAAGAAGAAGAAGATGGAGATGAAGAGAAAGCCAGAAAACAGGTGTTAATGTTGAACAAAATGATTAAAAGGATGATGTTTGAAGCTGCTGCAGGAAAGAGCAGCAGGAAAAAGAAGAAGAAAAAAATGAAAGTTTTTATATATTTTCATGTATGTAATGACGAATGTTGTAGAAATGAGCTATATCTTTGGAATGCTAATGTTTTTTCGAATATCACATTTCAGTCAAAAAGCAACTCAAGTTATATCTGTGTTTGTTGAAAATGAATGAAACAAAAAAAAAACGAAAAAAAAAGAAAACCAATTGGTCACCGCGGCCAACTGGCTGAACATCAGTTGCGTCTGAGTTTTCAGCTTATAAACTATCTTTCAAATTGTTTATTTTTAATGTCAACATGAAAATTTCTCTAATTTATACCTTATAATTTATTGCGGAAGCATAGACATCATCATTGCTATTAATATATATATATATATAAATACATATGGTTAGTTAAAAACAAAAACAAACTTATTTGAAGTTGGCGCCCAAATTACGTGAAACACATACCATTTCACACTATTTTCCACGTGCCCGTCATTTTTTGAATGTTCTCGGACACGAGCGGTTGCATTTCATTTCATAAACAGGTAAGTGAATGTATGTGTTCGTTTTCATCTTTTGTTGTAGCAAAATCTAATAAGAAACTTACCATTCTCTTGCGACAACCAGAATGTTGTCGGTCATTTGTAAACAGCACAGCCGTTTGTGACAATTTTTCTCTGCAGTTGTGACCATTAATGGGCGAAACTAGAAACTGTTCCATTCACTTATTTGATGTAACAATATTAAAGTTCGAATAGAAAGCCATTTGCTTCTTTGACTCTCACATAGAACGGAGAGGGGAACGACGAGGACGACGACGACGACAGAATTCGCAACAGCTCAGTATATTCATCAGCACTCACAAAAGATCAAAAATTGAAAAAAAATGAAGAATTACAATCAATCAAAATGATATTCAGAGCCATTTACGGCATTTAATACTTTTACAGAAACATCTACTGCCACTTTCTGAAATGGTTTCTGAGTCCACTCCAGGATGGTAGTCGATAGTTATTTCAGTTCCTGAAATCATTTAGAAGACAGTATGAGCAGTAATCATACCTTGACGAATGTTTTTTTTAGCCACAACAGCCATTCCATACAAGAAAGCGTTTTTCAATCCGAATATACGGACTACAGCAGCGTTTGGATCACAACTGTGAGAAATGAAACGAGATTCGTTACTATAAAAATACAATCAGTAATTGTTCATATTTAGATTCCAAACCCATAAGGTTCACAGTCAAGAAAGAAGCCTCGTTCCATAACCATTTGATAGTTAGTTGAACGTTCTAAAGCTTCTTCAGGACATATAATCTGGAAACATAGAAGTCTGCAATCCAGTGATCTAACTACCTCTCCCAAAAACTCGGTGATAAATTTTCCTTCTTGGATGTCTTCTGCCGTACGTAAAACCCATCCTTTGTGTGAGTTCCAAGTGACAATTAAAGGAATTTTTCTTCCTTTCTAAACAAACTTCCTTATTATCATACTGTTGTTATTCATACCTTAAGAAGTTTGTATTGACATGTTGTTTTACATTTACAGAAGTGGGAGCATTCGTATGTCCAATAGTATTCGCCATTATCATCCTCAGGGTCAGGAAAGACAGCGAGATTGTTCACTATCTTCAGGAATGTTCCTTTCGGCTGAAAGGACAAGAAGGTTTCTACGTCAAACTCAACTTCTAACATTTTCACATCTTAGACAGCCTTTTTCGCAGGCACAGCAGGAACAATGTTTGGCAGAACGTTTTCTCTTCTCCAGGAATTTGAGAGCCCTTTGGGCTTGTGCAGACCACACATAACCATTGATAATATACTGAAGAGAGGTTATTAACAGTATTCATCTATCACAACACCTTGAATTTAGGAATGCAAGTGTACATTGTTTGATGCCATCCTTCAATATACAGCGGTGCCGATTTTACTTTTCTCAAAGACTTAAAAGGTATGGTAGATTAAAGTGAATTGTATAGTTTCTCTTACTTTAATGTCATGTAAAGTTGTCAAATACAACCACAGTATTTCCAGTCGTTTAATTCTCCAATAGCCATGTTCTTCTATGTTCAAATCCTGCAGAAAACGTGAATGAAGTTTTCAACACAGCCGTTCCACTACAACTCTTACCATTTCCAAATTTGAAAAAAACTTTTTGCACGGTAAAAATTCATTCAATTGGAACATTTGCTCACTGAAAAAACGGTTAGTTCATTTGTTTTTTCATTCAGTCTAACCTCCTGGCATCTAAATTAGTTTTCATTTTATCTATAGCATCATATCGGTTTTGGAGATATTTGAGCTGAGAGAGAGAGAGAGCAAGAGAATGCTGAATGTAATGTGATTTTCGAAATTTACCTCTATTTCATATTCTAAAACGTTTGTTATACTTTCCAATGTACAGAACAATTGATTGTGCTTTAGCCAAGCAACTATATATTTCATTTCATTCTTCTGTAAATGAAATTATCTATATATATAATGTAATAATAATAATCAACCTCAGTCAACACTCTGTGCATGATTCGCAGAAGTTTCTTCTCTGGTGGTTGATGGAATATTTCTTTAATCTTAAATTATTCACCTCAACATTTCTCATTTTTAAAGTTTACAAACCAGTATGATGTCATCATCGTCATCTTGCTTGGCTACCATCCTCACATGGAATTGTACAATTTTAATTTATTAAAAATCGAACTATTTAATTATTCAGGATTTTTGAAATTTCCGCCTTCTGTAAACACAGTGCATGCTTTTTTTCAAATTAAATGATCATCAGTACAATTTGCATAACTCCGAGTAAGTTACCTTGTGACGTCATTCTTTCTTCTCATGAACTTTAGTGCAATTAGAAATATGATCGTTTCATCTTAGTATCCAATTGGCGAGTTGAAACAACTTAATCCTGATGAACCTGAGGAAAGCAGACCGTTATGAACCAACGGAAACCATTGAGAGCTTTTGCTCTGACGTAGATTGTTCTCGTGGTGCTTTTGTTCGTGTGGCCTTACCCTGTTCGGAGCAGATTTGTTAGCCAAGTAATACGAGTCTCGAAGTTCCACAGCTTATATACCCCTGCGGGAACGCGCCACGTGAAAATAATTTTTACGTGGAAAAAAAAAATGATCCGGTCGTTCTCTTTCGGGAAAACGATGAAACTTGGCTCAAAATTCATGAAATCGGTTGTTTTTTGGGTTATTTCGGATCAGAATTTCATTTTAAACTCGAATATGAACATCATTTGTTAGTTTGATGGGTGGAATTGCATCAAAAACGCTTAAGCTCAATATAAGATCTATTGAAAACACTATAACTCGAGATGAAATCTCGATCAACG